CATGCACTTAGTTGCTTCGCGGCATGTGGGATCTTCCCGGACCAGGGCTCAAATCCGTGTCCCCTGCATTGGCAGGAGATTCTTAACAACTGCAATACCAGGGAAGCCCCCATCTAGTAAGTTTTGGCTCGTTGTTAAGACAGTGTCACTGTTATGTGGTTGAATATCAGGATTTTGTTGTCTTCGTTTAATGGGTGTTGAATTTTAAAAATTCATTTAAATTTGTCACTAGTTTAGTCACCTGTGGAGCAGCTTGATCCTCTGTAGGCACATTTTTAACGTTGGTTAAAAAAAAACCTTTTTCTTAATATGCCAGATAGTAAATATTTTAGGCTTGTAGGCCATATTGTCTCTGTTGTGATCACTCAACTCTGCTGTTTAATATTGAAAGCATCCACAGAAAATATGTAGATGAATGATGTGACTGTGTTTCATTAACACTTTATTTGTAGAAAAGGCAGCCAACTGCAGGCTGTATTTTGCCAACCCCTAGGTTAGAGTAGCCTTTACTCTAGGGTTGGTTAAACCCTCCTCCTAAGGTGTGACCCTTCTGTGTTCTCCTCTGAATGTATTTGGTGTTTGACGAGGTCTCTCCATGCTGGCTGGTTGGAACTTGAATGTTGCCCAGGCTGCGTGTGAGCTCTGGGAATTGTTCAGCTCACGGGTCCCTGGTATTCTCTGCCTGGCCTTGTGGATTGTCACTCTGTGCACAGGCAGCTTAATCTTTAGCTAAAAACTCAAATGGATCTGTTTGCAGATTTCCGGAGTGCACTTTCTCTAGCTTCCTCCTTTCCAGCACCCTGCCCTCAAGTTCCAGGAGCCTCACTCTCCCTGAGCTTTGGTTTTTCCCTCCTTCTAGACACGCAGGCTTTTGCTCCTCTCTAAGGACTGGCGTGTGGCAAGTGCCTCCAGGCAGAAAGCTGAGAAGGTCATAGGTCTCACCTGGCTTGTTTACCTTCTCAGGATCACTATCCTGTGCTGCCTTCCGTGTAGTGTCTGGTAACTCCTACTTCAGGTATCTTGTCCAGTTTTCTACTTGTTCATAGTAGGAGGGCAGTTCAGTACCTGTTATTTCGTCAGGGTCTTTTTTTAGGTAAAGTTTCTTTAATGCGTAAGTTTTTCTCCATCCCTTTCTTTTCTTCATGATTTTCCTTCTTGAAGGACCTGCGCTGTTTGGCTTGTAGCATTCTCCAGAGTCTGGATGTTGCTGATGAGATGTGAACCCTCGTGAGAGCTTCTTTGTTGAGCATTTAGATAGTGCGTCTCCTTGTTTGCTCTGCAGGGTGATCCTGGGGAATGCATTGACCTGTGTGTGTTCTTACTGAAGCCAATTTTGTAGATCTGGCAGGACACTTAATGCTGGGCCGTGAGACCTGTGTCAGAGGTGATTGAAAGCATCTGCCTTATGGGGGATGTTTGTTGACTGTGTGAGAACAGTTAGGCTGTGTCCGTTGCAGATGGATGAGGCCATAAACGTTACAGGTGACCCTTGAACAATGTGGGGCTGGGGCCACCAGCCCTCCATGCAGTTGGAAGTCCGTGTACTCACTGAAGAAAACCTGTGTGTAAGTGGGCTCATGCACTCCAAGCCCGCCTTGGTCAAGGGCCCACTGTAAGTCCGCATATACTGTAGTCTTCATTCTGGAGCACCCATTTGATTCCTTTTTTACGGATTTTAGTTCCTTTTTGAAAAGTCTCCATATTTGCATCCCTCTTATTTACGTTTTCTTCATAATGTGTGTTTAAAGCCCTTCTCTGCTAATTTTAACATCTGGGTCGTCTCTGCATCTGCTTCTGTCTGCCCACTTTCCTCTGGTTACCACTCCTGCTTTTCCACGTCATGTACTTGTCTCCTTGTCTGGCCCTGGAGGCACGTGGAGAGGGCAGTTCCTGTGCTCCCCCAAAATGGCTTGCCCTTCTTTGGTCCAGGCAGACGGAGCAGGCTTGGGGCGGGGTGGCGAAGGTGGCAGGGGGCCTCCCGGCTCCTGACGGAGAAGCCAGAGTGTCTGTTTTGCTGCCGCAGTGGCTGTCTGTGGGCGGTGCTTGGCTTTCCTTCCTGCAGAGGCCTGGAGGAGGAGGCTGGCTGCTCAGAGACCAGGGATGTCACTCTGCAGCCTCTGCATGGCCCCAGGGTCAGTAAGTGGACTGTAGGGTCATGGCCGTGTGTGCAGGGTCCTGCAGAGTCGGTGTGGTCCCCAGTGGGCCTCCGGGCCTCGGCTGAGCATGGGAGATGGATGGCCTGCTCCCTCGGCTGCTGCCTCTTCCTCAGCCTTAGGGCATCTTGCCTGTGTCACTCCACAGCTGTCCAGTGTCTTTGAAGTATGACCTTACTGTCTGTCGGGTTTGTCTTCCACCTCGTGGTGGCAGCAGTGTTCCGCGCCTTTCTGCTCCTTCCTGCTTAGGGCTCGGAGGCATGCTGGCCTCCTCTGGGGACGAGCAGGTGTTCTCCTGTGTCCCTTCCTCTCCATGAGCCCCCGTGGAGGGACAAGACCCTGGCTCCCTGGTGCAGTGGGAGCCTCCCCGACGGGTGCATGCCTGGCCGTGGCTCAGACCTCGGGGATGACCCGGGTGTCTCACCCCGTCTCTGCGGATGCGCTGGAGCCGGCCGGGTCCGCAGCTTTCCCCTCACTGACGGGGCTGGCGTGTGTGTCGCTGGCTGCTGTTCGTAGCGCTGGCCACAGCAGTGGCAGGTGAGAAGGGGTAGTCAGGGGTGGCAACGTTGGCAGAGCCCTCGGTAAGTCAGGCTGGACCCAGCGCTTCCACGTGAACCGTTTCCTCTCCATGGCCACGCTGGGCGGCGGTGCCGTGACTGCCCCAGTTTACAGACAGAGGTGGCCGGGGTGCTGAGGCCCGCCCTGAAGGCCCACTCTGCTGTGTGACCGGGGGCGCCCTGTCCCCGGGGGCCGTTGGGGCAGGACAGGGCCGGGGCAGTGTCTGGAGAGGACAGGACACCCACAGGCCGGGTGCGGGCCAGTGTCCCCCGTCTGCCGGCGCTGTGGCTTCACGGCCTGCCTTGGGGTGATGCTGCGGTTCCAGGGTCAGAGGCAGGTACTGTCGCCCTGCGGGGCCAGGCAGCGGGGCCACCTGAATGGCGAGCGCCAGACCTCGGGTGCGTCCTTGCCGTCTGTACGGACCGTGAGCCAGGCAGGATCTGCATGCGGATGCGGGGGCCGTTCCTCCTGAGGATGAGTAGCCGTGCCTGTTGAGGGGCGTGTCCTGAAGCAGCTGGGACGCACGTAGGGGGCGAAGCGTGTGGGGCTTCCTGGGGTGGCTGGTGAAGGGTGCCCACCACGTCCCGGGGTCCGGAGCAAGGGGCAGCACTGCTGCCTGAGGGGTCGCCCTGGCCTGCCCCAGGGATGGGCTCGGCCAGCAAGAAGGGCCCTCGTGGGCTCGGCCCCCGTGACCTCCCGGCCGCTTCCCTCCACCCTCCCATCCCGGAGCCCCCTCCAGGTCAGACTGGAGGGGCGGTGGTGCGGGGTCCCGGGCCTGCTTTCTGGCTGGGGGTGTCCTCGCTGGGGGGTCCCCACAAGCCCTGCAGCCTCTCCTACTGCCACACACCCGGCCAGTGCCCTTGAACCCGGGGTGATGGGCGCAGGTTGCGCGGCAGCTGGAACTGTGCAGCATGGTCGAGCTTCAAGCAGAACGCACGGAGCAGACGAGGCGAGGTCTGTGCCGGAGGCGGAGAGGCCTGAGTCTGCTGGTGGGTGGCTGCTGCGGGGGTTTGCACTGATTCCCCGGGGGGCGCCTGGGAGGGAGGCCCCTGGCGGCAGGACAGGACCCTGCGGGCAGTGACACAGCGGCCCAGCCCGAAGGCCTGCTCAACTGCCTGAAGCAGTTTGAAAGCACAGGGGCCGGGACACGTTTCCTTGACGTTCCCAGAGACGGAGAGCAGAGACCACACAGAGGGAGGGCCCTGGGTGGCAGCTGCACGGGCACCGAGCATACTTGTGTCAGGGACGGTGTGCGGCCGGGGCGCCTCGCTGGGCCGGGAGGCAGGTTGCAAAGGCACAGCGTGTTTCTAGACTCTGGTGCACAGGGAGCACGTGTTTCTAGACTCTGGTGCAATCCCTTTGGGGACCAGATTTTCTTCGTTTCACCCCGGTCAGTATATTCAGATCGCCCGGCGGCCGCCATGTCTTAGCTTTCCCTTTGCCGTGTTCCTCGTGTGACTTGCTGTGTTTGGTTAGCAAGTACACATTTGAATCTGCGCCTGTACTTTTTATTTTGGGGGTGGGGGTGGGGGTGGGGGGGAGGGTTTTCTTTCTGTACTGGTGGGAACGAACTGTCTGTCTACACCAGCCTGAGCTCACGGTTTTTGTTTTAAATAACGAAACACATGAGAGTCGATTCCACGAGCCCTTCCCTGTGTGCGCTGCAGAGCCGCAGGCAGCAGATCGGAGGGCGGTGTGGACAGTGCAGGGGTCTGGCTGGGCTGTGGGTGGAGCCCAGAGGGCAGCTGGGGAGTGCAGGGCGACAGGCCACTTCCCTGGCGTGGGCAGGTGAGGGCGGCCCTGCTGACAGTGGGCAGCTGGGTGGGTGGTGGTGGGCTCCTGGGGGTTAGGGCCAGGGCAGGGAGACGGGGGCAGGGGCCTGTGGCTCTTGCGGTGAGGTGGTGGCCCTTCTTGTGGGGAAGGTGCAGAGCGAGCTGGTGGAGCCAGGGCTGCTCAGACACCTGGGCTGCCTGGATGGGCTCAGGTGGCTTCTCGGATGTTGCCAGGTGTCCACTGGTGGTGGTGGCGTGTGCCTGCCCCAGCTGGGGAGAGGCCGCGGGAGGCTGGAGGGGCTGACCCAGGCTTGGGGAGGAGCTCGGGGAGCAGGCCCCGTCGGGCGGGGGGCCGGGGCCGGGCACAGTTCCTGTCCCCGGCGGGACTGGTCTGGACGCTGAGTGGCGAGCGCCTCCCCCCGACACCCTCCCACGCCTTCGTGCACGGCCTTGTCTGGCGCCATCCGGGGAAGCTCGTCCCCCTACCCCCCCACTCACCGCTGTCGTTTCCCCTCAGGTCCGAGTTCACCGATACCATCCTGTCGGTGCATCCCTCTGATGTGCTGGACATGCCCGTGGACCCGAACGAGCCCACCTACTGCCTGTGCCACCAGGTGTCCTACGGGGAGATGATCGGCTGTGACAACCCGGACGTGAGTCGGGCCTCGCTGGGGCCTGGGGCGGCGCCCTCAGGGCGGGTGGCGCCCGGGTGGCGCCCGGAGCGCGGGGCTGACCACCTTCTCCTTCGCCTTGCAGTGCCCCATCGAGTGGTTTCACTTCGCCTGTGTGGACCTGACCACGAAGCCCAAAGGAAAATGGTCAGTATGGGCGCCGGCTTTCCTGGAGAACTGGGTGAGCGGCTGGGCCGGGGGCCTGCCTGCCGCCACTGGTCGTGGTCCCCGGGGCCGAGCTGCAGGGGACACCCACCCGCCTCATGCGGGGTCGCAGCTTTTATTACATTTGCATGATGTAGGGACCCGTGAGCAACATGGGTTTGAACCGCTTAGATGCGGATATTTTTCAGTGGTCAGTACTGCCGTGCTCCGTGATTCCCCGTGGGTTGGATCTGCGGCGTGGAGGGACCGCGGGTATGGACGGCCAGCTATAAGTTACATGTGACTTTCAACTGAGCAAAGAGTGGGCGCTTCAACCCCTGCCTTGATCGAGGGTGACCTGCACTTCCTGTTCCCCCAAACCACGGCCATTCTGACTGTTGAGTGAGGCAGAGATGATTACAGATGCAAACAGAGAATGAGGAGTTCTTCCCCTGGGAGCTTTGACGAAAGACGAAGAACGTTAACCAGCTCTTGGCCGGGTGCAGGCCAGGCACCCTCAGTGCCGCGGGCTTTCCGTTCCATCGAGAAGACGTGCCGTGGGTCATGGCGCCATCTATTCTGTCCTGTGTTCAGTGGGCGGCAGCAGCTTTAGTGTGCATAGAAATCTGGTTTTGCTGACCTGCGCTGAAGCGAAGTCCCGGGAACAGGAGGCGGGGAGGGCGATTTGAGTTTGACTGGGACGTGGTGGGTTCGAGTTGTTTGTGGGACTTCTGGGTGGAAGAGTCGAGTAGGCACTGGAAAATCATTTCCTTCTGGGAGGAGAGGGTCTGCCCACCACTTGCTGGGAACAGGGCGGGACGCGCAGAGCCGGCTGGGAAGCCATGGCTCCGCAGCCCCAGCCCGCCGCTGTCTAACTCCCGGCTTCCCTGGGCTCCCTTGGGAGATGGCAGAGAGCAGGCTGCTTCCCGCCTAGGTCTGGGACCTGAGCCCGTGTCTGGGAGTCTGCACACCGTGCTCGCTGGTGCAGCATTGCCCTCCACCCCAGGGCCTGGCAGGGCCAGGCTCACTCGCTGGCCTGGACAAGGTGCTGGTGGCCAGGGCCGGGGCAGCTGCATCACACGGGATCAGCTGCCTCCCTTCTGTTACGGGGCTGCCAGGGCCCAGGAGGGACCCAGAGCAGCCCCCTGTGTCTCTGGCTCTGGAACCTGCTCACCCAGGGCCACCAGGGCCCGCTCAGCCCCGTGGGGTGGGCAGGGCTCTGCTCCTCTGCCAGGTTAAGGGGCCCTGCCCGACTGCCCGCCTCCAGTTTGGTCCCAGTGGCGCTGTCATCGTGCAGGGAGGACCCGTGAGTTTGATCCAGAGGAATGCCCATGTGTAAGCACCATGCTGCTCGCCGACCCGAATCTTATCCACCAACTTTAGAACAGACATGCTGGATGGAATGGCCCGCGTGGGGGCTTTTCCCCGATGGGAAGGCTGTGCTCTCTACGTTTGTGGGTCTCTGTCCTGGTGCCATTTCAGCAGCGTCCAGCCATCCTGGAGACGGGGTCTGGCCGCCCACGTGCAAAGGGCCCCTCACTGTGCCTTTCTCATCACAGGTTCTGTCCACGGTGTGTTCAGGAAAGGAGGAAGAAGAAATAAGGAAGAGGCAGACGCCCGGGGACCCGAAGAGCACGTTAATACATCCCTTCATTCACGTCGCAATATTTTATCTTCATTTTAAAACAACCTTGTTTCCAATGATATTTAATAACTCAATGGCCAGTTGTAATTCTGGGTATTTCCTAAAACAAACAAGAAGCCGCCTGAGCCCTGTTGCCCAGAGGAGTGCCCCTAGGGGACTTACCGCAGTGACTCCATTCTCATGACTTTTCGTACAGACCCCTGGCCCCAAGCATGGCGGTCACAGTGAGTGGCCCCAGGACTTCGAGGGGTGTGTGTGCCTGGTACACTGCCATCACTTTGCAGCTGGAGGTGTGAGCCCTGGTCATCTGTCTGTGTTTTCCCCGGGGCTGCTCCCCGAGAGCCCGGCACCACTGCAGGCGCCTCTGACCCTCAACTGAGAGCGGTGCATATGGAGCCTGGTGATGAGCCTGGGAGGGACCGGCTCTCCCCGGGGCGGGCAGGGGTCTCAGCTTCGCTGTGCACTGCCTTTTCGTCTGGACTCCCACTTCCCTCCATGAGGGGTTTTCTTTCTGGAGTAAACGACTCTCCATTAGTGAACGATAAGAGACGGCCCAGCAGACGGGCTGATGTTTTGTTTCCCTGGGAATTCCTGGCGTTTTTACTGTGAAGATGAATTATCGTGGTAGCATGAAGATAGTGGTTTGTGTGAATATGGAGTGAGTCCAAGCCGCTAGGGGCTGATTTGAAACCTGTTCATTTGCACAGCAGATGAGCAGCTTAGATTCGAGGAGACAATTATGTGATGTGATTTGTGAATTTCTTGTGCCACAATAGCAGTTCTGGATGAAGCTAGGAAACTAGAGTGTCCTTTCTCTTTAAACAGCTTTCACCAAACCGACTTTGAACTGTCTCTTTGGTAATAGCTGAGGGAGCTTGCGTACCTTTGGTGTGTTGATTCCGTGGGTCATGATGGTCCAGAAAGCGTGACTTCTGCAGGTGTCCTAGGACTTGAGAGCCTCCGGCGCGCATTTACGGAGGGGAAACCTGCTTCTGTGTTCAGGCCAGAAGTCCGTGAGACAGACTTGGGGCTGATATTCCCAATTTCGAAGAACCTTGTTTTCTTTATAAGGAAGGCCGTCTGGAATGATACACCCGCTTCCTCCTGAGGCCTTGTTACTATAGATGCTCCTCCTATTTTCTAACATTCACCAAGGAGAGGAAAGAAAGCAGAAGGGAACCTGTGAGGCTGTGTCCTAGACGGGGCCACTCCCTGCAGAGTTAGTTAATATTCAGCAGTTGAAAGCGGGGTCTGGCTGGGGTCTGCGTCTGAGCTTCCCAGTGGGGCTTCGCCTACGCCCCATGTCCGACTCTGTCCTTTCTGGAGGGAGCTGACAGAGTGGCACTTGATCCCAGATGACCGTGGGCAGGGCGGTTGAGCACGTGTGGCCTGTCCAGTCTCGGGCCGGGGGTGGGGTAGGGGGTCGGCCACTGCTGCGGCTTGTCCCTGGAGGATCCCGGAGCCACATGGCTTTCTAGACCCGATGCCCTTCTGCTGCCCCAGAGAAGAGGGGGGCCGTGTCCGGACGAGTGCTGTCAGCACCCTCAGTCTCAGCATTGGCTGGAAACCCAGGGGCGTTGGTATTTAACAACTTAGGTTTTTGTTAACACAGGTGTTTAAGGATTGTGGGGAATAAATGTGGAAAAAAAAATTTTCTTCACTCTTTTACCAGTTTTTGTGGAGAAGATAGGTAAGTACAGTAAGCTTGTGGTGATTCTTTAGAAGCTAATTTAATATTTGCACTTCATCTGTGAACACTTCACACCCGCTGTTATCGCGGGAAAGTGATGGTGTTTGTGGATGTGGGTTGCTGGCTGATTCAGTTGGGATTCTCACCTGGTTTCCTGAGGCCACGGTTGTTTCCCAGGAAGGATGACCGACTTCTCTGTCTTAAGCTTTTGTTTAAAGTCCGATGGTACCATCCTGCTTGTCACAGTGTAACATCCCACGTGTGGACCTTTTTTTTTTTTTTTAAAGTTTCTGTGCTTATACGTTTCTAGTGTTTACTTTTTGCTGGTTACAATAATATCACCAAAATAATATGCACGTAGCTTAGGAGAAAACAGAAAACATGAGCAGAGTAGAAAGAGTCCCCAGAGCAGTTTGGCCTCCCCGAACACCAGTGCTGCCTGTGACAGAAGACACTTGGTGGCCATGTGGTCGGGAAAGTCCTGGCCCGAGGGGTCGGCTGGAGCCCATGCCGCTCGTGGTGTCGTCTGAGGCCCACCGCCTTCATCGGGATGCTCACCGGGCTCCGGGGCTGATGCTGGAGGCTGCTCTGGAGTCCTGCCCGACCCTTGCCTAGGTGGAGGCTGCCCTGGGCCCTCGCAGCATTTCTGAGCGAGTGAGAGTGCCGGCCCTCTGTGGCCGTGGGGCTTACTTGTGAGGGAAGAGGTTTCTCGTGCAGAGGAGAAACAGAGTCGTTCCCTTGTTTCCAGTGCTGTCTTATCTGTCGGCAGTTGGAGAAACATCCTCTCGTTTTCCTGCAGGAGAACACGTGCTGCACCAATAAAAGCAGGTGTTAAACTGAGCCACCTGCCCCTGTGGCCAAGCTCGTGGGGCTCATGGCTGGGACGCATACACCGAGGCCTGTGTGACTGTCCCCACTGGAGGCTGGGCCCCCGAGCAGGTGGACGTGAACCTGGTGCTGGCAGGGCCACGTGAGCCGGGTGGCTTCCCATCTGCCCAGGGCAGCAGACGCCGGACGCAGCCCCAGGCAGCAGTGACGGGGTGGGTGTGAGGGAGTTGCAGGGGTGTGTGGGGACAGTGGCCGGCTGTGTGTCAGTCCTGCCTCCTGACCCGTCGCTGGCAGCCCTTGGTGAGGACCGCTTCGAGCAATAACGCTGTCTGAAGAGCAGCTTCCCCGTATGGCCCCAGCCAGGGCCTGCCCTGGTGCGGGGCTGGGACACTTGTCACGGCGTAGAAGGTTTCAGGCTTTCCTCCAGTTTCAGTGAACAGTGGTTGGTCTTCATTACCTGTGTCGAGAGGAATTTTAAAATGGGACATCTAAGAAAAGTGTTCTCGTTCAGGAGAGCTGTGAAGTTCCTTCCTAGTGTGTATTTGTGGTGTTCATCATACCACATCTCATCCAAAATGATGCAGCTTTAACATGAATGTTACATTGTATTTTCAAGGAATTACTATTGATGTTCTCTTTGTAAAGGAAAGATAATATTGTAAATCTTTTTATTAAATAATGTAAAGATGTATATCTGTATTTTTGGATCATGTTATAGATTATGGATATATTGTTTAATGAATAAAGTATTTTTTGGAACAAACATTTGAGAATGCATCCTTTCGGGAAACGATAAAACTTCATCGTGTCCGGAGATGAGAAGTACGTCCTGTGTGGCATTTTGAAGGGGACGTGCAGTGGACCAGAGCGGGTGTGTCACTGCCACGGGCCTGGGCGGGACCCCCGGCCGCACCCTGGTGGACAGCCTTAGGCCTCAGCTGTGTCGTGGCGTCACAAGTTGGTCCCCAAGCTCACAAGAAAGATAAGTGGTTAGAGTGCTGTGGGCTGCTTTCTAGAGGCTTAAGGCGCTTCCTTTGGCACAGAAGTTTCACCCTCTAGGCCTGCTTGGGCGCCAAGGCCCTGTGGGAACTAAGCAACTCTTAGGATGTTCCCCTGAGAAGTGCTAACAGTCAGGGGCCAGAAACCCAACCTGGTCACAGTGGGTTGGGAGAGCATAGCCAGGCAACCATTTTCCAGATGAAGCCTGGTTCACAGACTTGGGTCCTTGGCTGGAGGGGAGGCTTCGGCTCTGGAGGAAGGCCTGTGACTTTCCTCTCCCTGCACCATCTTGCCCCACGCACACCAGGGCTGCCTGCCTGGGAAAAGGAGGCACCAGCTCTTTGTTTTGGGGGTGGGGTGCTAATCTGCACTGTTGCTGATTTCCAGAGGTCCAGGATGCCATTGGTCTGGTCCAAGTGAGGGCCCACGGCAATCAGGTGGTTAGGTAACGTTTGTCTGGATGGGTCCACAGGCCCCTCTGTGGTTATCTTCCCAGTGCCTGAGTGTGTCATTGAAACAGACATAATGGCTGGCAGGATGGCCACGTTGACCTGTGGAGCGAGGGTCGTCATGGTAGGAAGTGCCAGGTGGAAGGCCTGTAGTGTCCTCTCCCTGCAAGGGCATAATCCAAAGGCAGGATGTCTCCTTGCCGGGAAGGTCAGGGGTGATGTTCCTACCGCGCCCCATTAACTTACCTGTGAAGAGGTGGGCGGGTCTTGAGGAGTATGGTTTACTGAAGAGGTGGGTGAGACCCCCGCTGCAGCTGCTGTTCCTGATAGGGCATGGTTACCAGAGCAGAACGTACACTCTTGGCAGGTGGCAGGTAGTTGTTGATCTGGCAAGTGCCAATATGCAGGGACCACCGGAATCTTTGTTCTGTTGATACTTGGCCGAGCTGGCAGCACACCGTCACGGCCCTGCCTTGGGCCATGTACACACACTCGCTCTCTGCAGTCCCCGGGCCACGGATGGTCATCCTAGCATCCCACAGAGCATCCCTCCTGTCTGCCTCACCAAGAGCTCTGGAACTGATGAGCCAGACACGTACTGGAGATGCCTTGGTAGGACACGTGGGGGCCAGAGGGTGGGAAGAGAACTCTACTCTGGGTACTAGGGACTGTGTTAGTCAGCAAAGTAGAAACCCCTGTTAGTTATTGTAACAATTTAATTGCGGGTATTCCAGGGCTGAAAGAGCCAAAGGGAGCACTGAGGTAATAGTCATTGGAGGAAGCAGCTGCCATCCCTAAGTCGGCGAGGTGCGGGGGCAGGGTAGGGGGAGGAAGTTGGAGTCTGGATTTGGCTGCTTGGAGGAGGGGCCTGATTAGGATTCAGAGCTCGGAAGAGGGCGGCCACCTAGAGCAGGTGTTACTTGGGTGGCCCCGGGCCTCAGGAGCCCCGGGAAGGGGTGCCCCATGGAGCTGGGGCACCCCTGAGGGAACGTGATGCGGCTGGGAACTGGCATCCGTGCTACTGGGGTGAGGAACATCCCGCAGCCCGGAAGCTTCCCCCCTCCCTTTGTCCCCCTTAGGTGGATGCACTGGAGCTGCAGACGGCAGCCCAGCACCGGGCAGGTGCAAACCTGAAGGGGCGGGAGGAGGCAGCAGGCCGGAGAGGCTTCTTCCCTCCTGGTGTGGTTCAGGCCTTCCTGCAGCTGGGTCACCAATCCAGCCCAGCTCCTCTGAGGCCCCATCACTAAAGAATGCTTGGGCAGGCAGCTTCTCGAGCTCCTCGGGTTCGCCCTGCCTGCAGTGCGTACCTGACCTGCAGAGATGTCTGCCCTTCTGCCAGAGAGGGGGCCAGGGCGTCCCTGGGGCAGAGGAGTGGGGGGTGAGCCAGAGTCCCCTGGGGACCGCCCGTAGGACGAAGGAGTGAGCGGTTACGCTCTCACCCGGGGCCAGTCCTCGTGGAAGGGGTGGGAGGGTGCGCTGGGACCCCCGCCAGCCGGTGCCAACGCGGGTCAAGGCCAGCTGACCCCACGTGGAAGCTGGATCAAGCCGCGAACCAGGGCGCAGGTGGCTGGAGGCATCAGGGGCGGGGCCCCGGGCCCCGCCCCGGGCCCCGCCCCTGATGCCTCCAGCCACCTGCGCCCTGGTTCGCGGCTTGATCCAGCTTCCACGTGGGGTCAGCTGGCCTTGACCCGCGTTGGCACCGGCTGGCGGGGGGTCCACGG